CCTGCTCGCAATCAAACTGTTCTTGGACAACAATTGTCGCCGGACACGCGGACACAGGACAGTCGTTCGGAATGACTTAGTGCGAAAGGTTCGCCCCTCATCTCAAGCAAGCTTGACGATGATCTTAAACGTATCAACTTATAATTAGCTCCTTTTCAGAGTATTTTTTGCGGAGTTCGACCGGGACTTGGATCCGACGTGCTCAGACTGATACCCTTCAACCATTGATTTAGAAATAGTATTTTCTTCAGCAATATATAAAAAACATTTTATTATTTCCTCATCCCAAAAAAAAACCATTGTCTGAACTTACTATTCAATGCTAATAAACCCAGAAGACATAATAATAAAGAATGTGTCATGATATTCATCATCTAGAGAGCACAGGTTTTGTTTATTCTTCTGTTTTCTTTTTTTGTCTGCGAAGATATAGAATAAGATTAAAAAAAAGAAGAGATAAAGAACAACAAAAAAAAACCATGCAAATATTAGTTTAACATCACATTTTTATTTCTTAACAAAAAAAACCACGAATGTTTGTGTTTTTTGTTTGTTTGTTTATGATCGTACAGCATGAACTGTTTTTTCTTTATTAATTAAATGACATGTTTTATTAATAATTGTCATTAATGAATTAAGATTAACTGACCAATCATTAAGAATTTCTTGTGGTGATTTTTTTTGTTGAAATGTAACTATATCTTGAAGTCGATCGATTTTTGCACTTATTGTTTTATTTGAAACAAGATTTGATAAAAACTGTTCAGCTTCATCTTTTGTTAAATCAAGTAATTCAGCCATTTTTTGTGTACGAGCACGTGTATAATATTTTGCCATAATACGCATATTCTAATAGAAATATAATAAGAAAGAGAGAATAGAAAAAAAATAAAGAAGATAATGAACTTACATGTTCAACAACACGAACTTTAAAATCTTTCCAACGTTTTTTTCCTTCTTTTGCTAGTGGTGAGACATATATTAAATCAACAAATTATTAATAAAGCTGAGAAATTTTTATGAAAAAAGCTGAATTTCGAAAAAC